TCAGGTGGAAAATAACCAGTGCTCCACACTCCCCATCATAGTGAGGCAGCTTCGAGCCCCGGGCTGAGCCCTGTGAACAGGCCAGTAGGCGCGATCAAATGCTAGGAAAAGCAGTAAGTGGCAAGCAGGAAGCACTAAAAGGACTCACATAAAAAATGTCGCAAAAATGTGGAAAAAAGACCGAATGGTCATAGGAAGTGATACTTGTTCACCTTGATTCTGGCACGATCACCACCGTAGGAGGTAGGGTGTAATGTTCCGCTTTTATTACTTTTACTGTAGACGATGCTTCGGTGGATGATTCCCGATAAGTGGCCTGCAACTCGTACTATTAGAATCAATGCTGTATTAAGTTATATTTGTCCTACCTGACGGTTTTTCTGTGGCGGTTTAAGGAATGGCACTGGGAATGGGTGAATAACATTCCGATTCTCCGCTGGTTCTGCCTGTGCTGACTCTTTCACTTTAGCGCTCTTGCTGGATTCCTGAAGAAAACCGTACTATTTGGGTGATTCTTAAGGGGGAAAGGGGTCTCCTCGACGCCTTACCACTTCGCTGGCTGGTCTTATTTTAGGGATTGACGTGCTCTGTTCCTCAAGAAGCACTGGTGGTATCGCCGTACTTTCAGGCTCGTCTGGAGAATCCTCAGTGGCTTGGTCAATGTGATGAATTTGTGAACCAAGTTCAAATCGGCCGCGTGACCTGAAGAATTTTATTATTAGGGTTTTTCAGTACATACTTCGTTACTCTTCTCTTCACCTGGCAATATTTTTCACAGGTAGCGGGGAGATCTGTCTCTCTCCAGAGGTACGGCTTGGTGCTCCTTCAGAGACACGGTTTGCGGTGGGCTCTTCCTGAAATGAATAGAAGTAAAGTACGCGCCAATTGTAGTGTTCCTGTGGAAATCCTGGGACTGAGAGGCTTTCAGGACGCCTCATATCTCAGATGCTCACCACCACATGCGCACGCCATATGGACCATCAGAGCAGGAAGGCCATCTATAAAACTTGCATTCTCAGCCCTCGATTATCAACAGAATAGGTTATACAAGCAAGTTACAGTATGCCTGTACGAGTAACACGACCCAAGTTCGCTGATCCTATCGGGTGGGTGGAATGGTATGGAGACTCATAGCCATGTGTTTTTAACTTCCGTTAGCACGTCCGCCGTTCATGGAAAATTTTTAGGAATGCGACCCCCTTCGAGGAACAAATGCGACCTGCTAAGCTGCGGATTTCCACCTTACGAAAAGCTTCATTCCTCATAGCTGCTTCTCTCTCTCTCCCTATCTCTCTCTCTCTCTCTCTCTCTCCTCTCTCTCTTTCCCTCTGCACAGGAAAGAGCGTGGGATGCAGCCAGCGACAGCCAGAATTTCCACATAGGGCGTCCTGCCGTTATGGTGAGGGTACAGCACCACTGTGTGGAACGTATTTGGTCGCTGTTGGAAGAGGCGAGGGAGGGGGGGTCCTATGTGCCTTCGAGAGAAAATTGCCCCTTTGGGGAAAAAAATTTTCCGTTTGTTGACGTTTCGCGGAACTTCTATACAAGCACTATTCAGGACAGTTGAAAATGGTAGTTGGTATATGACGACCCCTTCCCCCGCACCTCCTCCCCCATCCGCTCGACGGAAAATTTTTGGGTGGAAAACTTTGAAATATGAGAACTTTTGGAAAAACTGCTAGGAAGCTGGGAACCTGTAAAGAGGTGGTAGGTAGGTTTTAGGCAAGGGGGAGGGTCGTACTAACACCATCATTTCACACATCACTGTGAGCGAATTTAGCATCAACTTCCCTTTCCCTTAATGGGGGAAGGGGAGGGGGGGGGGGGGGCAAAACCTAGTGCTTCTGATAGCTAAATTGGAGGTCTTTACCCTCCTTCCCGCTAAGCGACAAACGCAATTTTGGGAAAATTAAGGGAGAGGGTTGTGGTTGTGAAAAAGGTGTGCCGAAGGAGAACTTTGGAGGGAAGACCTAGTTAGCAAAATTATCCCACAAAGCGATGATATGCCTTGTTTCCACACCCTTTCGCACTGATAGAAACCCTACCAACCAAACCAGTACAACAGGTAGCGACTTGAGAAAACAAGTGTCAAGCTAAAAAATCCCCCTGGCTTCCGAGCACCTTCCAGTACTGAACATCACCCAGCCGAAGAATTTCTGTACGAGTCAATTTCTTGTGACTCTCTCGTTGAGGTAACTCCGCGGGTGACGAACCTTGAAAGCAGAGTACCCCTCGCGACGCAGTACAAATATGATTACTGTAGGAAATATATTACTCTTACTGCAATAACGAACCACTTCACGTGATTGCTGTTTTTCTTGGAGTAAAAGACCGTCCTGCTGAAACGCACCACTCGGTTTCACGTCAGATGTGCTGTAGCTCTTTGATGATGGAAGTTTGTGCACCTGAAATGCGACTTTGCTAGATTTCCTGCGATCTAAAACAGGCACAGGTGTTTGGGATTTCTAAGATTACTATAATAGGTGAAGTCGTTGTAGTAGATGTCGGTCGTCCGCCACAAATCAAGTCTATGCCATTCGAATCGTATACAGCCACTCCATCTTGGAGCATATGAATCTTCTCAGTACAGACCAATGGATTTTCTACAAAACTAGAGTTTTAGTCCTAAGACCCATAAATTTGAGGAATTGACCGTTCAAACCTTGTAAAAATACAGTTCCAACTCGATGATTCAGAGCGGCGTAAGGTGTCTTGGTGAGCTTGTTGTTGCGTAGATCGATCAATTGCAAGTTCAATTGGGCAAGGAAGGTTGACGGAGAAAGTTCGGTGATCTCATTGTCGCTCAAGTCTATCGTTATTAACGACGGACTACTGTAGAAAGCATTGGGATGCACAGACTTGATCTGAAATTTTAGAGGTTTACTTGGTCCGATAACTGCTTCACATCACTGGAAACACATTCCACGCCCACCGTTTGGGCGTAGTCACCTGAGCTTGTGGGCGTGGTCACCTAAGGTTTAATGGTGGGGTTCTTGTTCTGCGACGAAAAAGGGAAGGGAATCTTCAATGAATGTGAAGTTAAACAAGCAGTAATGAAACATCATGACAATGGCGGTCCATTAATAGTCAAGCACGGCGCTTAACGAACGCAACGGCTCAAATGACTCCGCCCATCTAGCGGGTGTGGAATTCGTCTTTAATTGGACCTATGGAACAGATGCAACTTCAAATATCGTGAGAACTTCCAAATGATCAATATGTACGATTTGAGCAAGGGAATAATCAATGATTAAAAATAAAATTAAGTAAAAAATTATCAATGATAAAGGCAATTTTTGACGGGCCCAAGGCCCGAACTTGAAGGCACTTCTTTTCACCCTATAACGAGGGTGAAGAGGAGTGTCTTCAAGTTCGTAATTGTGAGCTTGGCGACGGCATTAGAGTCCAGACTGTGTTGAGGCAGCGACATTCCTACAAGAGAGAAGAATCGGCATGGATTTACACAGCCCTCACCAGGTTCGCAATTACATTCATGGGAACGCCCCTTTTTGTCCTTTGATATGGACTGTATTCATTAAGTTTTCTACAGCATAACTCCTATCCAGTTTTTCCTTAGGAAGCATTTGGGCGTTCAGCACTTTTGTAGTAAGAGTGATAGAAAGATAGTTATAGTAATAGTCAGATCGATAATATAATAATAATAATAATAATAATAATAATAATAATAATGATAATAATAATGTATATAATATAATAATAATAATAGGCAATGCGGCTTGGTGGGGACATTTTGCTGGTTGATATCTCTTGTGGAAATCTGTCATTCTTGCAAAAAAATGCAATAACACGAACTCCGCCTATACTTGACAAGAGTCTACAGGTCTCACACAGTAAGACGCATAGGTCAACAGGAACTAGCAGAGAACTAGCGGAATTCGAAGAGACCCTCCCAAGCCGAACAGTGCCCACATCTGTAAATGCTGTGGGAGACTCACCTTGTTGCTCCTAAAGGCGACACTTTGTAGTCCTACCATGCCGTCCAGCATTCCTTCACGAATTTCTGTGAGTTCGTTGTTGACGAAACTTAAAATGGCCACAGAAGTGTTGGCAAAGGCGTTCTTCCCGATAGTACGAATACGATTTCCTCCAAGAAATAGTTGTCGTAGCTGTGGGAGACGTGCAATACATTCGTCCGGTATGTCCGTGATATTGTTGTTGGTCAAATCGATCATTTCAATTTGATTGAAAGATGCAAATTGATGAGGAACGAGCCGTGAGATTTGATTGTTCGTCAAGTATAGATACTGTAGTTGAGGAACGTTCAAAAACGCTTGTCGATTAATCTCCGTTATTCTGTTTCCCTGCCAGATTGAGCAGGTTTAGTACGGGCAGGTTTAAGAAGTTCAGCGCCTCCAAGACGCTTATGTTGTTCTTTTGCATATGTAGAGCTTGCAGTTGTTTGAGTCCGCGAATCGCTGAAAAGAAGGAGCTATTAATCTAACGCGCAAACAAGTGCACAGAACAAGTAATCTAGTGAATGGGCGGAGTCGTCTGGGGCGGGGTCAAGCGGGTAAGAGCACGAAAGTCCATTCGGCTGTTTATATGTGTGATATACAGGGGGGGGCCAAAAAAAAAAGTCATTTTGCCTCCATGACTTTCAAGGCGCTATAAGTTACACTTTATTAAAT